ACACGGATCAGGGTTACCTGAATGATAGTATATCTCGGCCATTGTCAACAATACCCAAAATATATGTGTACCACAAGGGATCTTATTTTTATTATTTGCATAATTTCAGAAGTAGTGACTGTGCATATTCATAACTATACTTGTCAAACGAAGATGAAGATCAGATTCCTTCATAAAGACTGACATTAAACTGTATTGACGGATTACCAACAGTAATATGAAAGAATCTTGTGTTCTTTAAATCATTTTGATTAACTATAGATCTTTCATATCATTCGTATTTCCACCATAAGCAAATTACAGATTACAAGAACTTGCCGTGATGTCTACAAAACCCCAGTTTCAGGAAATGAAAAAAGTATCTGGGCGCCTTTTGGTTATAGTTTCTTAAAGTTAGAATTGTTTTCTCTGTAACATATGTTCGTTTCAGAGCCGTTAAGATAAACATGGATAATTTTACAGTGGTATAAACAAGCTCTATTTGTCATCATTGTGATATATCGCAAACTTACAGATTAGCCAGGCCACTACCATGCAGAAAGCTGCACGTGCCACAATACAATATACAATAACTATATACAAGTACTTAAAATTGAAACTTATAAACTATGAAACTAATAATGATTAAAACATGACTTGGCCACATACTTCCCCTCCCCATGAAATGACGTCCTCGTCATTTAGTAGTTCCATCCCAGAATGGAAATAAAAGCTTGAGAAAGACTACCACTTAGCCTTTCTAGAACACCACTAGCTGCAAGTTCTTGAATGGCTCTGGATCTCCTGTCCATATTAGCATCTGAACCTGGCACACTGTGGCTCATGACATACTCCCCTGACGTCATCCAAGGAGGCTTCTTAGTTTGTCTTCCTGAACGTCTTGGTGCAGGTTCAGGTGGAGATCTTGGTATAGATGCAGCATCAGCCATTTCATCATCTATCCCAGAAGCTGTCTGGGCTCCAGGTTCCTCCTGTTCTGTTTTGTTCTCATCAAGATTCTCAGTTTGATCTACTTCTTGGTTCTCTTCTGTATCCTGCTGTTCTTCCAACATCACTGACGTGTGGCCGTTGCCACCAGAAGAAGATCCCTCTACTTCAAGAAATTCTTGGTCGTCACCAGTCCTCTCTTGGGTAGATAACTCATCTTTAGCAGACACTGTGTTCATCGCAAGGGAGCCATGAACTTCTGCTGCTTCTTGAGACGTCTGAACAGGCAATGTCATTGCTCCAATTTCTATGGTATCAGTTTCATTGTCAGTTATCACCTCTGCTGTTGCCTCTTGCGCTGGAGATGGTACCACCAAGTGCCTTCGTCTAGGAGTGGGAGTGGGTCTCTTATTAGGCTTGTTGTCCTCTGCTTGTAAGATAGCTCCAATAGGTAGTAGATGATTACGGTGTAAAGTCCTCTTACGTCCTTCACCAGATTCCTTGTGGACAACAAACACAGGAATGTCCATGTTGGGCTGCTCCATAACTATGTGCACATCCTCTTCCCATCGGTCTGCCAGTTTGTGTCGTCCATCAAACGCCAAAGCCTTTACCAGTACTCTGTCTCCTACCTCTATGGTTCCTCCTCTAACCTTCAGGTCATATCCGGCCTTCTGTCTGTCTTGAGCACTGCGTGTGGTCTTGGATGCCTGCTCATAAGCATTCCTGAGTCGTTCCCTGAGGGCCTTGGTGTACTGATACACTGACTTCTTTTCTCTGTTGAGCTCTAGTCCAAAGACAAGGTCGATGGGTAATCTGGGTTCCGCGTCAAACATGAGGAAGAATGGGGTCTGTCCGGTGGTCTCATGGCGGATGCAATTATATGCATGAACTGAAGGTCCAATATAATTCTTCCAATCCCGCTTCTTGTCAGGTGATAGGGTACCCAGCATGTCACAGAGGGTCCTGTTAAATCTCTCACACATGCCGTTGCCCATGGGATGATATGGAGTGGTCCTCGACTTTTTGACGTTGAGTAATTCACACAATTCCCTGATGAGTTTGCCCTCAAAGTTGGCCCCTTGATCGGTGTGAAGACGCTGTGGCATTCCATAGTGTTGGACAAAGTTGGTGTAGAAGGCCTCTGCAGTTGTCTTCGCTGTCTGGTTTCGTGTGGTAATGGCCATGGCATAACGGGTAAAGTGGTCTGTAATTACCAGAACATTTTCGTATCCTCGTGAGGACTCCAGGGAAAGAAAGTCCATACATACTAACTCCAGAGGCTGGCTGGTACTGATACTCACTAAAGGTGCTCTGGCGTTGGTAGGAGACTTCCTTCTGAGACATCTTCCACAAGCACATACCCAGGCATCAGTATCCCTTGACATTCCTGGCCAAAAGAATCTGTCTCTTAGTAATGATAGAGTACGGTCCCTTCCAGGGTGTCCAACTTCGTCATGACATTCTGTCATGGCTCTCTCTACACAAGAGATTGGGAGTACCAATTGCAGTCTCTTCTCTTCTCCTGTGGTTATCCGCTGGTATAGAACTCCATTCTCCAAGATCAGGCTGTCAAAAGACTTGAACAGGCAAGCATCAGGCTTTGTAGGTGGAATCATTTCTTTCCTTGGCTTAAGACCAGATCTCACAGTTGCAATCCATGGCCGGAGAAGTGGATCCTGATACTGCATCTTCCTCCAGTCTCTGTTAGTCATGTTGTGGATATCTCGTCCTTGGTCCCGATCAATGTCTATGACCTCAGCTGATAGGCACAGAGATTCTACAAAGGGCTGGGAATGGATAACATTACACACCGCTTTGACAGATTCTATAGGAACCTGTGATTCATCTTTTTCCTCTCTTGACAATCCTGGTAGCCTGGATAATCCGTCTGCGTCAGCGTTACTCTGACCTGGGCGACAAATAATGTCAAAGTTGTAAGCTGCAAGTGCTGCTAGCCAGCGATGACCTGTAGCGTCCAGTTTGGCAGTGGTGAGCACGTAAGTAAGTGGATTGTTATTCGTAAATGCTGTGAAGGTGTTTCCATACAAGTAATCCCGGAACTTCTCTGTCACTGCCCATTTGAGAGCCAAGAACTCCAAGCGGTGTGCCGAATAATTCCTCTCCGATTTAGATAATCCATGACTTCCATAACAGATTACTTGTTTCTTCCCATCTTCTGTCTTCTGGTATAAGACATGCACCAAGTCCATGCATACTGGCATCTGTATGAAGCTCAAATTTTCTTGTGTAATTAGGGTATCCTAATATTGGTAGTGAAGAGAGGGCTTCCTTTAACTTCTGAAAAGCTGATTCTTGTTCGGTACCCCAAGACCAAGGCTTACAAACATAGTTCTTCTTCTTAGTTCTCTTGGATTCCTTTGGAGCTGGCATCAGGCTTGAGAATGGTTGAGCAATCCTTGCGAAATCCTTCACAAACTTACGATAGTAACCAGCAAAGCCCAGGAACTGATGAACTTGCTCCGGTGTTGTAGGACGTGGCCAATCCTTTATTCGCTGTACTTTGTCTGTATCTGCTTCAACTCCTTTTGATGACACAACATGTCCCAGAAACTTTATCTTCTCCTTGAAGAAAGAGCACTTGTCAGGTGTCAACTTCAGTCCACACTCTCTGATCCTCTTGAAAACCCTCGCAAGTCGATCCAAATGTTCTTCATAAGTATCCGAGAGCACAATGATGTCATCAATGTAGATTAAGCAGATCTTAAGATGAAGTCCGTCAAAGCAGTCGTTCATCAGTCGCTGGTATGTGGCGGGACTTTTGCACAAACCAAAGGGCATCCTGGTATACTCATAAAATCCGAGTGGTCCTACTGTGAAAGCTGTCCTTTCTTTGTGTTCTTCAGCCAACTCCACCTGATGATACCCGCTCTTCATATCCAACGTTGTGAAGTATTTGGATCCAACCAGAGCATCAAACATCTCTTCCACTCCGGCAAAGAATAGCTGTCCTTGATTGTCTTATTATTGAGCTGTCGGAAGTCAACACATAGTCTAAGTTTGCCATTTTTCTTTCTTACCAATACCACATTAGATGACCATGGTGAAGGTGACTTGCGAATGATCCCACAAAGAAGGAGTTGTTGAAGATGATCTCTTACTTCCTGGTACATCGGAGGTGGGATCCGTCTATGTCGCTGCTTGAAGGGACACTCATCAGTCAGCTTAATCCTATGAACCACCCTGTCAGTATAACCAACATCTGTATCCCCTGTTGAAAAGATGTCCAAGTGCTGTCTGATTACATCTTTGCCTCTGGCCAGTTCATCAGGAGTCACGGCAGCTTCCTCGAAGCCCATCTTCTCAATCAATGGTTCATCAACAGAGTCAGCTGTCTGAGGTACATCTTCAATGGTCACTGGCTGCAGTTCACATAATATAGCATTAGGAGATATAGCAACAGTCCTAGTGGTCACATTACAGATATAAACCTCAACTCCCCGTCTTCTGTTTGCTGATGTAGGAGACTAAGCTTGGAGCAATGTCAAGGTCATCTGGTATTTCTGAAGATCTCGTGGCTTTTAGTACAGCACAAGTGGAGTGATAATCAAGCGGTTTATCGAAGTACAAGGCATCTAAAAGCGAGGTACCATGGGGTGAAAAGGTTAGCACTCTGTAAAAATCTGTTTCCATGATGCTCTTTACACTTGACCATAAATGAATTCAAAATATTGGTGCCAATAATAACAGCTACTGTCTCGTTGTATTCACTGTCCGGAACAACTAAGAATAAACCTCGCTGGTCGGCTGGTGACATACCTGTTACCTGCAGTGGTGCTTCAACATATCTGAGATAAGGTAGCGGCTTACCATCAGCGCACTCTACATGTAGGATACCTTGTAGTGGCTGTATAGGGATGTGGGACAGATTATCTCGATGGAAGGACTCACTCATGGTTGATACTGTAGCTCTGGTATCCAAAAGCCCTTTAGTGTCCACCCCATGAATGGCAACTTCCACTTCTGATGCAGTACCCACAAGACCAATTACATCATTATCTTTGGGACTCTGTACCCTAAAATCCATAGCTTGCCCCGCACTATGGATTCTCCTCAGTTTAACGGACCCCAACTGTGATCCATCCTAACTGTGCACTTGTAGCTGACATGTCCAGGTTGTCCACATCGGTAGCAGATGGGAGTAGGTTGTCCATAGGCATCAGTTGTCCATCTTTGTCTTAGTCTGATTGTCCTAGGTTTAAAGGCTTGCTGTCCCTGGGCATTGGTGTTCCGAGCATGAAACAAAGTAGGGGGTGAATACTGAGCTGGAGGACCCTGGGTATGTTGCGGCATCCTGTGGAATTCCTGAAATGACGGGTACCAGCTGCCTGAAGGTTCAACTGTGGGTTGTGCCTGGGTTTGAGGGGGTGTATCACACTTCTTCTTGAGGTCGGCCACTTCACCTGTAAGCTTTCTGATCATCCCCTTGATCTCTGCCAGTTCCTTATTCTCCTTAGTGACAGCTGCCATACCAGGAGTAGGCTTCTTAGTATCAGTAGAGTGGGAGAGTAGAACAGGCGGCTCTTCACGTGTCTTGAGTTCCTGTTCTATTCTTCTAAGGCTGATGAGAAGATCACTGTAGGTGTGGCTCTGGTCATACTTATGGCCAGAAACGTCCTTCAACTTAGGTAGAAGTCTCGTCCATAGCATGGATCTAAGCATCCTGTCCCGTTTGTGAGATGCAACTTCTCCTGCATCGATGGCCTGTCCCAAGAGATCTTCTAGACGTACAGCCCAGGTAGCAACTGACTTCGTCTCTGTCTGTTTAGCTGAGTAGAACTTTGCAAGCAGTGTCTCCGTGGCATCTACTTCCCCAAAGACGCTGTCCATTTTAGCTAAAATAGAGCTTCCATCAACATGTGGGCCTAACCTAAGTAAAACTCTAGCGGCAGTTCCCTTGAGTGACCTCCTGATGGCTTGCTTGATGTTGTCCTCCGAGTGTAGCTTGTCCTGGAAGATACACTGCACCTCATATCGCCAAATATCATATGTCGCATCTTTGCTGCCATCTCCAGAAAAGAATGGTAGGCGTGGTACCTCTGCCACCTTGATTATGGTATCTGTATTTGCCTTGGCCTCATATGGTACTTCTGGATCCTCCGATTCGGTCTTTACCAGTGGGGTACCAAAGCATTCCCGCATCCAATTCATAAAGTCTTCTGGGGAACCTGACTTAGGGCGTAACTTTAGTGTATTGAGAGTAGACACAAGCTGGTCTATCTCCTCTTTAGACATACCATCGGACGCCATAATAAATGAGCTGATGACCTGATGACCACCCTGTTATAAAGTATACACTGCAGGTATAAATCCTGACTTGTATACAAGAACACTTCAAGTGTGATACCTACACTACATGTATATATATGTGCTTGAGATATGTATACTACAGGCAAGTAAACAGCTATGTTATACACCAGGTATGGGTACTGGTTAGTAAGTATGAATTACATAGTGTTTGGTACAATGGATAAAGTACTGGTATAGGCTATATAATACTGGGCAGTATAGAGGGATATATGCTATATGCTTAGGATAGTAATATTTACATGATAAACTTACACAGGTGTAACGCAGGAAATGAAAGCTGAAACTTGAGAATGCCACACAAAAGACTGACTAAATAAACCATCTAACTAGAAAGACAACTAACTTGACCCAAGTAAAACACCTTCAGATAACAACACACCAAATCTGAATACTGAGTACTAATAACTAAATACAAGCAACTGTATTGAGAATACTAAGGTATTAAACTAAGAACCTTAAAATTTTATTGATACTGGCTCTTAAATGAAAATTTAATTTAACTGAGATTTATCTAATACTAAGTATTATATGTATAGTTTGTTGATTAAATGCTTATTAATTAAGCCCAGTATTCACACATGCAAAATCAATAACACCCTATTATTCAGTCAAAGTCTAACAGGGAAAATAAACCAAATTCAAGACTGCAAAATGAATCAAAGTTAACTCAGGGTTACGTGATAATATATCGCAACAATATCAAGTCATGAGAGCACCGCGACAATATCAGGCCCCAAACTCGCGACAATATCTGAACACAATCGCGACAATATTAGAACAACATGACCGCGACAACATCAGCGCATGGTACCATCGCGACTATATATACACATGACAGCATCAAGACATGAATACTGATAAAACATATATGGCCATGCTATACGCATGAAAAAGTGTCAAATGATGAGCTCACCGCACAGTATGAACAACCAGAATGATATGAAATGAACAGGTATCAGTGTCTATAGTATAAAGTCTTTGGGCACAAATTCACTCGAGTAGTTGCGTGATCGTCTCCCTTGATGGTCTCACAAATTGGAGTCACTAAATGATACAGTCATAGTTATGCGGATTCATGTAGCACAAACACAAAATTACAGTCACATGTACAAAATATCAGAATCCACTCTCACGTATTGACGCCTGACAGGTGTGTCTCAAGGTGTCTGTCCTGAGGGTACATGTCTCACTCTCCTATGGCTGTCATTCTCACTGGGGGCTCCAAAATGTAGTAGCGGAATATGGGGTGAATGTTGGTGGGTGTATGGAACGCACACAACACAACGCTACTTGTGTTCTCAGATGACAGCCATTTTATTATTGACCTGAATGTTGGAACAACTCTGATAATATACATAAATATAACTAAGTATTTGAGCATAAAGGTGTACATATACATGTATTACACTTTCTATATATTCTTAAATTCAGCTAGCCCTGAGAATGCACTAGCATAAATAAATCTTTAAATATAAATAGCAACCTGAAAACTATTCATACATACATATATCATTTAGGACATTCAATAAATATATTACAAATATAGATGAAGAAAATATATAGAGTTTATTACAACATACACTTACCACTGTGTGGCAGTGAGTGTGCATCAGCTCTCATGCAGTCAAGGATCAATCATATACATCATCATGGATCATTCTAAGAAAAGTAAAATACAAACTTGATAATACTACTATTGGTATATAAAATAAGTAATGATAAAAAACATATTTAATCAACCTCACATCCACCCTCACTATTTCATACCACATTCATACGATTATAGATTTAGACAATATGTTTGAGTTATAATTTAGTTTAATTATGTTTAGACTGGTATTTACCTACCACATACACCATATTTAATTTAAATAGCTAATTGATATTTAATGATATAATGTAGATAAATTACATTTAAATTACACATCCAACCAACTGTAGTGATGGTTGGAAAACAATAAATACTTTTAACTACACCCCGATGCATTAATATAATACTTCTTAAAGAAATACACTATGTACAATGCCATATATACACATACAATATATGCACTGACCTGAATAATAAAATCTTCATTACAATCCAGAAATGTTCCAGAAAACACAAATATACCACAGTGATGTGATCCTCCACAAAGATCTATGTGACTGCCAACAAGTTATGTGTGACAGCCACCTTTTAAAACTAAACAGACAATAGGTGGCAAGCTGACCAGAGTAACTGAGGCAGAAGGACAAAAGAAGATAGTGCAGAGTGTAAGCGTATGGGTCAGAACCTGGCCTGACCCAGTAGGGTGGCTATTGTTAATTGAGTAATTGCATAAGTGCAGGGATACATTTAACTGAGAGGGTTTGTTATATTTTATCTGTAACCTTAAAATCTGACATGTATACAATATACAATAACTATATACAAGTACTTAAAATTGAAACTTATAAACTATGAAACTAATAATGATTAAAACATGACTTGGCCACATTACTGGCATTGCATGTTCTGTATATACGCCAGAAGGAGAACAATACATATCTCCCACTGATTTCCAGTTGGCCAGATCTTAGCCTAATTTACATTTTACAATTAACATTTTATACATGCCCCTACGAAGAACGTGAGCACGTGGAATGAAACAAGTACAACAGATATAAGGGACTGGACATATACCCAAAGAACTTAGCTAAGCATCCCTTCACACATCTCACGATTGAATGAGCCCCGACCTTAACCCTTTGGTGCATATCTGGGATATGATTGGTCGTCGTGTGCAACAAAGGGATCCTCCTGTACATAACCTGGCCCAATTGGAAGCTGCTTTACATGAGGAATGGCGTATACTGACCCTTCAGAGGATCAGGAGACTGACAGGGGGGTATGAGGAGGAAAGTGCTGGCTGTTATACAGTGACATGGAGGTTACACTCAGTACTGACCTTGAATCGTGTAAGACATGCGAAATGACATTTTGAATGTTCACATTCACCAAAACATTCAACAATAAACATTCCAGGGCCATACTTGTACAGACATGGTTTTGTAAGAAAACCGGTGTTTATTAAAAAAAGGAGCAATTATCATCATAAAACCAACATGGATTCCAGTCATTTTGTCGTTGTTTATCATACGGGTCAGGTACACTTTTCCATCGTGGTCACCACCAGAAGTTTTATGTACATATTGAAAACCTACCATTGCAAAAATACAGAGGGTGCTTAATTAAGTTCTTTGCGTAAAGCATATTTGATAAAGGCTCATATTCACAGTGATACACATATTGCAGACACAAACAAAACATTAGTTGAACTGACCCAGTATTCTACCACTTACTGGTAAACACCACTATGATAATTCTGAGCATTGTATCCTGTTCACATTTTCAATGCCCAGGTGGAACGTGGATCAGGGTTACCTGAATGATAGTATATATCTCGGCCATTGTCAACAATACCCAAAATATATGTGTACCACAAGGGATCTTATTTTTATTATTTGCATAATTTCAGAAGTAGTGACCATGCATATTCATAACTATACTTGTCAAACGAAGATGAAGATCAGATTCCTTCATAAAGACTGACATTAAACTGTATTGACGGATTACCAACAGTAATATGAAAGAATCTTGTGTTCTTTAAATCATTTTGATTAACTATAGATCTTTCATATCATTTCGTATTACCACCATAAGCAAATTACAGATTACAAGAACTTGCCGTGAACGTAATGATCTGTCTTAGAAATCCTGAAACAAATATACCTAATACAGCCCATGGCAGTCTAGAAGATGTGACATGTCTAGAAAACCCCAGTTTCACCAAATGAAATAAAGTCTCTGGGCGCCTTTTGGTTATAGTTTCTAAAAGTTAGAATTGTTTTCTCTGTAACATATGTTCGTTTCAGAGCCGTTAAGATAAAAATGGATAATTTTACAGTGGTATATACAATCTGATATGGTGCGTGGAGGTAAGAGTTATTATTTTATAGCAAATCCCCATCATCAAATATTGGGTATGGTGTTGTTTATCCCAGCCGGATGTAACTGTGACTGGTGTTCCGTGGCAGGTCCTTGATCAGCTCCTTCTTGAAATCCTCGGCCGCCATTTTGTTTTTGTCCTCTGAGTATGACGTAACGAGGTACTTCGACTCGGCGATTGTGACGACCATCTTGGCCAGTCTGCCAGTCTGTGTCTGGAGCGCTATTTCGGGGTATGGCTTCTCCCATAGATCAACTAAAGGAAAGAGTAAGGACATAGTGACATATGATGTTTGTCTTCTCCCATAGATCAACTAAGGGAAATATAATGACATAATGATATGATTGTGATGTTTGTCCTTTCCAATAGATGAACTAAAGGGGAAAGGAATCACATAATGACATGTGATGTTTGTCTTCACCCATAGATCAACTAAAGGAAAAGTAATGAGATAATGACACATGATGTTTGTCTTCACCCATAGATCAACTAAAGGAAAAGTAATGAGATAATGACATGTGATGTTTGTCTTCACCCATAGATCAACTAAAGGAAAAGTAATGAGATAATGACACATGATGTTTGTCTTCTCCCATAGATCAAGTAAATGAAACATAATGACACATGATGTTTGTCTTGTCCCATAGATCAACTAAAGGAAACATAATGACATATGATGTTTGTCTTCTCCCATAGATCAACTAAAGTAAACATAATGACATATGATGTCTGTCTTCTCCCATAGATCAAGTAAATGAAACATAATGACACATGATGTTTGTCTTCTCCCATAGATCAAGTAAATGAAACATAATGACATATGATGTTTGTCTTCTCCCATAGATCAAGTAAATGAAACATAATGACATATGATGTTTGTCTTCTCCCATAGATCAAGTAAATGAAACATAATGACACATGATGTTTGTCTTCTCCCATAGATCAACTAAAGTAAACATAATGACACATGATGCTTCTTTTCTCTCATAGATCAAGTAAAGGAAACATAATGACATATGATGTTTGTCTTATCCCATAGATCAAGTAAAGGAGTGAGTGAGTGAGTGAGTTTAGTTTTACGCCGCACTCAGCAATATTCCAGCTATATGCCTGCGGTCTGTAAATAATCAAGTCTGGACCAGAAAACCCAGTGATCAACAGCATGAGCATCGATCTGCGTAATTGGGAACCGATGACGTGTGTCAACCAAGTCAGCGAGCCTGACCTCCTGATCCCGTTAGTCGCCTCTTACGACAAGCATAGTCGCCTTTTACGACAAGCATGGGTTACTGAAGACCAATTCTAACCCGGGACCTTCACGGGTAGATCAAGTAAAGGAAACATAATGACACATGATGCTTCTTTTCTCTCATAGATCAAGTAAAGGAAACATAATGACATATGATGTTTGTCTTTTCCCATAGATCAACTAAAGGAAACATAATGACATATGATGTTTGTCTTTTCCCATAGATCAACTAAAAGAAACATAATGACATGATGTTTGTCTTCTCCCATAGATCAAGTAAAGGAAACATAATGACATATGATGTTTGTATTCTCCCATAGATCAAGTAAAGGAAACATAATGACATATGATGTTTGTCTTCTCCCATAGATCAAGTAAAGGAAACATAATGACATATGATGTTTGTCTTCTCCCATAGATCAAGTAAAGGAAACATAATGACATATGTTTGTCTTCTCCCATAGATCAACTAAATGAAACATAATGACATATGATGTTTGTCTTCTCCCATAGATCAACTAAAGGAAACATTATGACATATGATGTTTGTCTTCTCCCATAGATCAACTAAATGAAACATAATGACATATGATGTTTGTCTTCTCCCATAGATCAAGTAAAGGAAACACAATGACATATGATGTTTGTCTTCTCCCATAGATCAAGTAAAGGAAACATTATGACATATGATGTTTGTCTTCTCCCATAGATCAAGTAAATGAAACATAATGACATATGATGTTTGTCTTCTCCCATAGATCAACTAAAGTAAACATAATGACATATGATGTTTGTCTTCTCCCATAGATCAACTAAATGAAACATAATGACAAATGATGGTTAACTTTTCAAAGAAAACGTTACGATATTTCGATTGCTAAATATCTTGAAACCACTGAAGCATTTCATGACTGAATGTTATAAGGCTGGCTACGAAGCTATACCTGTGGAGGAAATTCAAATATTTATCAACTGACTAATCATGTCCACATGCACATTATTTTCCTAAAATGTTCGATAGGTGTAGGTGATAGTCATGCAACATTGATATTGATACTGATATTCACGTATGAACTGACAGCAAGACAATTGTCGAAATGGCCATTGCCTGGTTGTAAAATTAGAAATATACTTGACCCACCAGTGTTATAGATAACAATTTCGATCGGTTTTTAACCATACGAGGCATATCAGCTATTGCTCTTTCATCTTACACACAATGAAGATGTACCGAAACATTTCATGTCTTAATTGAAAAGGGCTCTGAAATATGACGCCCCTAATACTTCGCTATTTACCTCGATTTTCCATGAGAGATTACATATTTATCGACATTCACACAAAATGATATCGTGTTCAGTATTACATAAATGCTACATACAAATTTCAAAATGTTCGAACAAAAGCCTTATTTTTCCTTAAACACATATTTCGTTCATATATGACACGTTGAAATCTGCGCATACAAAATGTGCTATCTACCTGCAACAGGCGACTTGTCAATGTTCGCCGGAACCTGCATCTCTTTCTGAGCCAGTTGTGCGATTCTGTTGCTGAATGGTTGGAACACATGCTCGTCAGGTATGATGACGGTCACCACGAAAACAGAGTCAACTGCATTCTTCACGCCATTAAACACCATTTGGGCAGCGTTATTTGGCCGTTTAGCAATTTCACCTGAAAGGATAGACACACTTTTCTTCACATTGGAGTGTGTGAGTTAGTGAATGAGTTTAGTTTTACGCCGCTTTTAGCAATATTCCAGCAATATCAAGGCGGGGAACACCAGAAATGGGATCCACACATTGTTGACAATCGAACCCGGGTCTTCGGCGTGACGAGCGAACACTTTAACAACTAAGCAAGCCCAGTGTCCCTCTTCACTTTGGAACCGTTTGGAGTGAGTGAGTATGTTTTACGTCACTTTTATGGGCTTCACACATTGTTCCCATGTTGGGAATTGAACCCGGGTCTTCGGCGTGACGAGTGAACGCTTTAACCATTAGGCTTCCCCACCGCCCCTGAACCGTTAGGAACATACGTTTGGCAAAGAATTAGTACCCGTATAACTATAAGTTCTTTTTCGAATGCATGTTTATGCTTTAGAATTATCGGTTGGCACAGATAAAGAAATGCTATCTCAACAATGGCTTAATGAAAATATCTAACCTGCCTTCTGCAATCAGTATCCTGTCAAATACATTCGTGAGCAAAACTGTCAGTTGTTTTAAAGGAACATCGATTTTTCGAATATAATTTCTAGAATCCTGCACGTACAAAATACGCAGTATCGTTAAGATTTATGAATATACAAAGTATACAGTTCTCACTCGAAGGAGCTATTGGGATGGTAATGGTATTGGAGTGTATTTGGGCAGCATTTCTTATAGCTTCCGCGATGGCGTCGGTGACGGTGCTGGTTTGGTTGTTTGGGCAGTAGGAATGTAACAGCGTCGCAAACGGCAAGCTGGTGCTGTCATGGGAACATCGTGTCTCGCTAAGTTCAGATACTGAAAAAAAACAGCCATTGGTATAGTGTTTTGTATGAGCTGCAAAATATGCGTGTGAATCGTAGCATCAGTCGGACCCACCACTCATGTACGAAAGCCTAATGCTGGCCCTATTGTAGCATACAATACTTGTTCAGCTATAATTTTCGTTACTTAAATTATGGTTCCGTTTGCTCGATTAATTTTTCGTTGCTTCGGGTATTTTCTCATTGCTTCCATCATTTTCTTGTTACTTCAATTTTCCTTAATAAAACTTGAAATTTCGAGCATCTACTCGTTGCTACGACTCTTTTCTCGTTATTTCACTTATTTTTTAGTTGCTTCGAGTACTTTCTCGTTCCTTCATTTTTCTTTAAAAAACTTGAAGCTACGAAAAAATACTCGAAGCAACGAGTAAATACTCGAAATTTCAAGTTTTTGACAGAAACTTGATGTAACGACAAAATACTCAAAGCTGCGAAAAAAATTAAACATAGTTGAAGCAACGAGAAAATAATCGAAGCAACGAGAACTTTTGCTTAAAAAAATATTACATGCTACAAGTTGGCAGCATTAGGCTTTCGTACTCATGAAGTTTTCAGAAAGGTAATTATAACTATTTTTTGGATGCCTGATGCCTCACAGTGATGCCGCTTTGCGACGCGGACTGTCATCGAGCCAAGCAATAGAACCATGGACAAGAAACCCAGTGACACGAGAATTGTTGGGAGCGTTTGCACATCACCCCCGATCTTAAAGATGTACTAGTATTAATTCCAACGATTGCAATGCGGGCATCAATATGTTCAATACCTGTAAAATATTAAATGTCTCTTGTTATATTGCTCAGCGCTTATGGTTTCAAGGAGTGAGTGAGTGACTTTAGTTTTACGCTGCACCTAGCAATATTCCATTAATAATATGGTTTCAAGGAAATCAGTAAATGGGTTTTGTGTAGTGGTATGGATTAACCAGCGTTAAATGTGTATGACAACGAGATTATAATACAGACAAAGATAGCAGGAAGATACTTTCACGAACCGTAGGCTGAACACTGCCAGTCAGTCTTCTCAGCGTTTGTGCAGGTAAGTGCTGGATTGGTAGATACATCTGGAAACAGAAATACAAAGTGGAGTGCATGAGTGAGTATTATTTTATGCCACTTCTACAAATATTCCAGCAATATCCTGTGGGGAACACGATAAAGGGAATCGAGCCCGGGCCTCGAACAGTCATGCCAGTTCGAGATGACACAAGTTTATGGATGATCAACTTCTTTATTTTAACAATAGCGACATTTCGGTATAGATTCTTATACCGTTTTCAAGCATATGGGGGAATGATGGGGTACACCAGTTTATATACAAGATAAGATCATGCGATAACAATAACAAGGGTGGGGAAACAAAGCATCAAAGAAAGTTACACGATGAGCTACAATGACATGATGATGAGCTGAAGATAACAAAATGAGATGAGTGGGATTACCATGACAATTTGTGAATGTAAGTTAATTAGGCAGAAGCCAAGGTGGTGGGGGGGAGTAATAAGTGAGAAGCCAGTGGTGAGGAATGTGAGTATGAAGGCTGATGAGAAGCCAGAGTGGGTTGAGTGGTTAATTATTTGTGGATTAGATGGTTGTAAGCTGAGGGGATGTAATAGCCTTGATATCTGTTAATAGAGGGATTACAACGGCATATTTGTAATGCTTCCGCCAATTTCCGCTGAGTGTAATCGTGTTTGTTGTTTGTAAGTGTTTTGACAGTGTCCCAGTTGATGTTGTGTTGAGGAAATTTGGTGACGTGTTCCGAAATGGCTGATTTGGTGTTTGCATTGTTTCTTTGATGCTTTGTTTCCCCACCCTTGTTATTGATATCGCATGATCTTATCTTGTATATAAACTGGTGTACCCCACCATTCCCTCATATGCTTGAAAATGGTATAAGAATCTATACCGAAATGTCGCTATTGTTAAAATAAAGAAGTTGATCATCCATAAAGTTGTGTCATCTCTATGCCAGCAACTTCTAAAATGCCACTCAAACAAATCCTGTCTGTTCGACACAACCGTGAAGAACATTCAGCTGTAACAGCATCGTGAGTGACTGAGTTACATAGTTACGCAGCGTTAGCAAAACCCCAGCAATACCATGAAGGGTGACCATCGAGAAGAGACACACATTGTACCCATTTAGAGAATCGAACACGGGCCTTCTGCGTGACGAGCAAACGCTTGGCTACCTCTTTGCTCCTTGTATCATAAAATGATTAAGGCATAATACTTCAGTGAAATCGACATTGGAAATTCACTTGTTATTATATGTGAATATGTTAAAATCACATGCTTACTTTCTATTTCCCTGTCATTCCACAGAACGAGGACAGCCTCTGTGACTTCACTTGCTTCACTGACACTTCCCTGTACAACCTGTAGGAGAGTGTTTCCTACGCGGACACGAATCTCGCACTTGCGTTGATGATTCAACTTCTTCTCTAAAACATCATATGTATATAAATGCATCAGATGTAGCATCGCATGTATATGGATTACACTGAGAAAGCGTAATCCCAAATGTAACATATGTATAGAAACCGCTTAAAACAGAAACGTGTTTTCTCTCTCTCTCTCTCTCTCACATCACATACTCATTACATTACATTACAAATCCATCATATTACATTACACAATCATTATATTAGAGTACATACATGTATGCCTTTTCTGTTCATAATGATAATGTGAGTATTGTATCTAAAAATCATCATAACATTGCTTCTTGATACATTGACCTGATTACACAGTCACTTTTCTGCCTGAATGTAATGTTTCTTTAAAAGTATCAAACCATCTGTTTGTGCACAGTACTGTTACTGTACCCAAAACAATTAAACCATTAGATTTCCTACCTTCGTGAAACTGTTCCACTGTTGCAAGATGTTTTGTCTTCAGCTTGTAGGTATGACGGTGTGCCAGGAACAACTAGGACAAAACATTGTTGCCAAAATAAATACTTCCAATGTCCTTTGAAAAACTAGTATTTTCATCAGTGGTGGTTTATCGGAACATATCAAATCACCACAATGATGAGATATACACATCGTCAAAAATATCGCGACACCAAACGTGAAGTACAATTGAGTGTACAATTGCAATGCAGAGATTTTCAACTGTAGCCAGACACTACAGTTTTGAATCTTTGAAAAAACTGGCCCCACCGTTGCTGGTGAGTGGCAACACATCCCTCAGTTTAAGAACAGATCATTTACCTGTTACATGGGTACAACATTACTCAGACACATACGTGTTGATATATTCCAGATATAATTCCTGACAGTAGAAATCAGACAATGCTGATTTCTCATTTTCCAATTGTTCATTATTTTACATTACATATATATATGGCAGTAAGTAACACTTTATTGTTTTTTGTTTCACTTTCTAGCTTCGTCTTTACTGCTTATCAAATATCTTGGAAGAGTGATACTTTTGCCGAGGTATAAACATTTTGTGAAGAACAGCCTTTGTGCATCACCATGGTGGTTTGAGATGTCTATTTTTTATGTGGCAGTTATTATCTGTTGGATATTTGGTGTGCAAAACGTGAAGTACCTGTTTGACTGAGAGTTTCGTTTCTGGGTAGATCACTATGAAGATCTCTCTGATGGCTCCAGATCTCTTGTCATTGAAGAGCTTTATTGCCTTATGCATCAACTGGACAACGTGCTGGACCGGATACTCATGTGCCCCAGTACCAAGAGCAGGGAAGGCAATTGTCTTATAACCTTTCTCGGATGCCTTGATAAGACAGTTGAACACCAAGGACACCATCCACTGAATTCACAAAATGAAACACTGACAATGGTATAGAATTAAAGTTTTGGTATAATAGATATATCCACACAGGTGAAATACAGAATTATTTGATTCATATACACAATACACCCTCCAGCAGTTGTATATGCCCTTATGTTAGGAGTATCACATTCTATGAGCAACTGCCTATCATATATTCTGTCATTACAAACTAATGTCAAAAGCATGGTCTGAAGTAAAATTAATGTTTAATCATAAACATGATCTGTTGACAATTCAGCAGCGCGCTGAAAGGTGAGGACAGTCACAAATACTTACAAAGTCAAGTCAAGCTTTCATCTGATATTATTCCATCGCCACATTTTCACTGAAGCCTTTATAAAAGTCCAGTTAAGAGCCTTAACCCACACGCCATGTCAATTGCGGCTCAGAACGAAACACCCGATTTACGGCATATTCAAATAAAAGTGACCCGTGAATATCGGGTTAGAATTGGCAGTCCATGCTTGCCGTAAGAGGCGCCTATGCACCAATTGCGTAAATCGATGCACATGCTATTGATCACGGGATTGTCTGGTCCAGACTTTATTATTTACAAATGAGAGTCATATAGCTGGAATATTGCTATGGTAGCAATACATTTCAACAGGTGTGACATGTGCCTTAAACCCAGTGAATATGTGATGTGAGCAGTAGACGATGTGTTCCACCCTGTGACCAACATCCTCCATCAGGCTGCTTTGACATAGTACCATCGAAGGATATAGATCCTATCTCACTCCTATTACCTTGAGGGTTTACAATGGAATGACCAATACTTGTGTATGACAAATAAGACAAAGCATTATAAGCACTGGGCTAAGATTTAACTGTGTCTGTAAAACCATGGAACGAATGGTACATAATAGATTAACATGGTATCTTGAAACCAGTAACCTTATAACAAATATTCAATGTGGTTTCAGGAAAGATCGTAGTACGATTAGAATCCTTTGGTACGATCGATTTGGTACGATTAGAATCCTTTGTTGAGGAGTGCGGCGTTAAACAACAACCAAACCAAGCCAGTCAAATGAAAGTACCTACTTTGAAACACTCGTCCTCCTCCTGTTGATAGTTCGGACTTGGTGACTGAGGAAAATTTGGCAGAGCTCCGTGGTAGATTGCCTTACAGGTCTTGATGTTCCCCGGTCCCGTCTCTGCAACTTCACCATTGCCGATGCCTTTGGGATGGTCTTTCGTCAGCTGTTTCTGGATGCTTTCACCAGCAGCCTGGAGGAGGCACCAAGAAACGCCTCGTCCGTTACCCAGGATTAACTTATCGTTGGTTGTATTGACAATAACATCAGCCTAGAAATAAAATATACGTTTAATATACAAGTACATGACATGATCAGGAAATATGTAATTAATTTATGTAATTTATTTCCTTTACACGCCAATATATTATACTCAATATTTACCGAGTTATCCAGTGGATTATACAAACTGATAAACAGTAACCATAAACTCCTGTGTAGGCACTATATGTAGCTGCAAGATTGTTTCAAGGAACTATCGGTCATTTAAGAATATATTCAAATTATCGAAGAATTTTAATCATTTAAAATCCTTTACCTTTTGTTTTTCGAGTGCATTCATGACTACTTTGACCTTTGTTTTCCTTGGGGCTGCAAAACAATGTCAAAAACATTCCGAAAATGCATTTCCATGATTGAAACTGACTGTATATTTTAATATAACATTATGATAAGTACAGTTTGTGTGAAAATAAATAATTATATGATATATACTCAAACAAAAAAGTTAAGGACCATCCGAATATTCCTTATTTAAGCATTAAATGGTTCATAATATGAAATATTAAATACTTTAATATTGAAAATTGGGGTGGTCCCTTACTTTGTTTGTTGAGTATATCGAAAACATTGAGTTTTCTTAAATAGTAATCATATTTTGACAGAATTACAACATTTCTGAGTCTACATACCTGATGGCAAACTCATCCAAAGGGACTCCTCTAGGGTTAGGGATTGCATTTGTTCCATGAAGCCAATTTGTTGTTGAGGAGTTATGATACATAGGTGCTTCTCGCCAACTCGTTGTGATACATCTGCCACAGCCAGGATGCTTATTCCAGGGCCGACAGTTATGGTGAAGCTGGTGACACGTCTAACTTCATCGTTGACCACCTTCACTGCCTCCGAGAGATAATTCCGTGGCCCTTTAACCTCCAATGTATTGCCAGCTCTTGTCAATCCAACACCAGGGAACCTGTTTATCAACGCTTTAATCTCTGTCCATTTGTACTGGGTGAGATAGTTGGCACAATGTTCAGACATCAGAATAGTTTCGCTTTCATTGTCTTCTGCTAGTGGAGTGGATTGTAACATTTCCCAAGAACGTTGCAGACTGTGACCCAACGATATGGCAGCATCAGCCAAAGCAACCACCTTCACAACAGAATCCTTTCTGACAATGAGAACTTCTGTATCCCCTGGCCCGTCTGTTGGTAAGGCTTCAACTCCACCCTCCTTCATCAGTGGGATCTCTTTGGTGGAGAAGTCCATCTCCACGATGCTGTCCTTGATCATTTGTAGAGCCTGATCTTCCCCCCTTTGATGCACTTGTCTCTATGGTAACAGTAGATGCGTCGAAGTCAAACCTGCATCTGAAGCCTTCATCATTCAATTTTTTGGACACAATTTGTTCCACTGCTGGCTTGCTCTTCATGTACTGCAACTGGATGCGTGACAGTGGTATGGGATGAGTATGTGGATCGTTGATGCTGGGAGGGTCACTCGTTTCTGTTCAGATATAAATAACTTCATGAATAAAAATGACAACTGAGTGAGTGAGTGAGTGAGTGAGTATGGTTTAGCACCAGTTGTAGCAATATTCCAGCATTATCAAGGCGAGGGACACCAGAAACGGCTTCACACATGGTACCCATGTGTTGAATCGAACCCGGGTCTTCGGTGTGACAAGCAAACGCTTCAACTACTAGGCTACCCCACCGCCCTTAATAACGACAAAACCCGTCCACATCCAAAAGACGTTTGTGATGCATCCTGGATATTAATAATAATTACATTACATTATTTAAAACAATTTTTAAATTTCACGAGAACAAGTCAGTGGGGTATTCGGCAGTATCCCCAATGGACCTTACCTCCTTCAGTGATAACGACAAAGCTGCTGCTGTCATCTTCGAGAAATTCTTGCATCTGTTTCACGGGATTTCTGCCCAAGCTGAGGAAGCGTCCAGAAGACATCGTGCCGCCTGCAACAGAAGCACCAGGCAAAAACTTCTACAAAAAGTCAAGGCATAATCATGCACGTACAAAGGAGTTCTTTACTGTTAAACGCTGAACACAGCAATGTGATAGCGGTCCGTAAATAATCGAATCTGGACCAGACAATCCAGTGATTGACATCGTAAGATTTTTTAGCACTGTTAAAACCATCTGAGATATGACCCCGTACAACCCCTTCCCTTTAGTCGCCTGTTACATCAGACATATGTCGTTGAGTGAGTGAGTGAGTTTAGTTTTATGCCGCACTCTGCAATATTCCAGCTATATGCATGGGCTACTGTAGATCAAGTTTAACCCGGATCTTCACGGGACACATTTGTTGTTGAAAATCAAACGACAAAATATGTAGGAATGATTCTTATTTTTCCTTATCCTGACTCATGCTCTTTTTGCTTGTCTTCTTCTTCTTGCGAACTTAGTGGAACACTTGTATCTCCCTAATTGAAGCTCCCTTCAATTTAAAATCACTAATTAGTATTCACCACGAGTTACCTCCTTTCCACAAGAGCGGGAACGAGGGCGCCACCTCTACCCATGTGCCTCACTCTCTCCTTCTTCGCCCAGTGAGCTGGACGTGAGAGCGCCTGTGTCTCCCGACACACTATATCCTTTGATTTATATTTAGTTAGTTACCTCGTATAGACATCTATAGAGGTTTAGCTAGTATCCTTCAGCGATTATATATTGATATTTAGTCGTTTTCTACAGTTTATTCACGGGATTGCCGTGTTTGTTTCAGTGGATTACGTTGATGAAAATTCTGTACTATTGCAGATTACGTTTTTATGCTGCTGCTGATCCGCCTTTAATATGATGTACGGCCATGTTGATTATATTCACACTGCAGTTGCGGTACTAATTTATCCAATTCTACCTTTTATTAATATTTACTTTGCGTTTGGCACGCACAGCAGATAGGTCGGCGTATGCAGAGTCTAGTATGACTGATACACGGAACCCTCGCCAGTCTACTGCTGTTGGCCGACTCCCCTCCGTGTGGTGTTCGCTAGAGTGGTGGAGAGGTGTGGGGCGTGAGTCCGCCATCTCCAAGAAGCATCCTGCTTCCCCAGACATCCCATCGTCGCGGCAGAAGACTAGAGGGTTTTCTACTACATCTCAACAACCAGACCGTTCCCATCGAAGTTTTGGGCCTGTATGATGATCAGCCGGTCATCATACGGTTGTACATCAAAGATTGACCGATGTCGGCACAGATCAGCATGCAGCCTGATGTACCAGCGCGAGATATGCGATGATCGTCCTGAGGGTCCCATCATTACCAACACTCAACGCAGGACGTCGCGACACCCAGGGCAGCGTCGACCTCTGAGGGAAAATCAGCGAAGTCTACTAGGACTTTCTCAACCGAGATTGTTCCAACCGATGACCTGGACCTCTACGATGATCAGCTGATCATCATCCCCGGCGTCGCCACAAGAAGCGACCGGTGACAGCTACAGCGACATCAGCAGAGATCACCATGCAGCCTGATGCCTCTACACTGATGTCGGACGATTTTCGGTGGACCCCTCCATTAACACCGCAGATAAAGCACCGGCGACCTCGTCGCAGACCATCCCAGAAGACATGATGCGACAAATTATGAACATCATGGAGGACCAATATATCTGCGGTAGCAGGGTCCGAAGCCAGCGAAGGCTCCAACGTGAACAACACCCAGAGGCACCCCGTCAGCGTAGCAGCCAGGACGATGTCACCTCAGCTGGAAGGAAGTCGCGGACCACCTTGACGAAGGACCTAGATGTACAGCCTTCGCGAAGGCCTTCAGCGGCGGAAAGGACCTAGATGTACAGCCTTCGCGAAGGCGGAAAGAACCTAGATGTACAGCCTTCGCGAAGGACTGCGCGAAGGCAGGATAGATCATCACCTTATGCGGTTTCATCCCTAGATGTGGACTCGGACCATCAGACATCACGGAAGCCTTCGCGAAGGTCATATCGTCGTTCCCCGGACGGACGCAGAGAGGAAGCTTCAGCGAAGGCATGCGCCAAGAGACACCTGAATCCAGATCATCATCATCTAGAAGGACATCGAGGGACTATACAAGAGCTTCAGCGAAACTATCAACGTTCCCCTCACAAGTCTCCGAAGATCAACCCATAGACAAGTTGATCATCGATATCAAGTATAAGAACTACAATCGTATATTGGTTCTGTTGAATCCATGACGAGGACGTATGTTCGCTGGCCTAAATAGATCTAGAACGATCAATTAGACACTTATCACCAGACTTAAGTAATACCGACTTCTGAATATGATAAGATGATCCATGCGGCCCTATTTTAGGCAAGCGCTTCACGATCCCACATCCTGTTAAACACAGAGGCTGTTCCACGAAGCAAGCTCATATATATATTTTTATATATATATATATATATATATACTAATCGGGCTTTGACTTCGACACCTTCGCGATGGTCGTGAAGGCTAAGTAACTCCAAGTCTACTTCACCCAGAAGATCTAGAAGGGATACCGAGAACTTCGCGAAGTCTCGGCGTTCACCGAGGAAGTCTCCTCCAAGGTTTCCATATACTAGCCACTTGTCATATATAGCTACTCGTCAGTCCGTTCAAGACGGCGCATAAGTTGATTATCAACTGTATGCCAGATGCCGATCTATAAGCCTACGCCAAGATAATTGCTTAGGCTATTTACAACACAGAACGTCGCTGTATTATTAGTCAACGACATTTCATAGATCTTCACAGAAATCAACTATTCGTGTATAAATTGCTAATATACAATCCCGGACGACGATACGATTATCTACATGCGTGACCATTACGCATATCTGCAGACAATTCAATATCGAAATTGAACAGCAGCCTTGTTACAGCGCAGTATAACTCTTAATCGTCAAAGTTTCTGAGAAGAAATATGTACAACAAGTTCAACGTTAATTCTACAATTATGACGATACATTCATGTATACAGTCTACAAGCTCACAACTTGCAAGTTGTTTATACCCTTATATATAAGGAAGTCGAATTATATTCAAAACTGAAATTATTTTCCGCGACAACCAGGAAAATAACCTACCCAGCATAAAATTACAGAGCGAGATATTTCGGCGGAGGTTTCGTAGCGGTTACCATTAACCCTCGAAACACGTGGTCACTCGGATAACTTCGAGGAAGCTACGGTGAAGACCGACGTTTATGCTAATATCAACGACGACAAGAATTTATTCAAGGTGGGTTTTTCCCGCTACACCGGTGACATCACAGAAGCGGTATTTATACAGAATCAAAATGCCTTGTTCTGATTGGACGCGAGGGACAACGACCTACACAGAGGTCGATCTCTGTTCACAGTTCAAGACTTACGTCACAAGTGACAACTACATATCAGTGAACGAGCAAGCCTCATTACAGTCCAGTTAACCTGAACATTCATGATTAGACTGCCTTTTTCAAGTTAGAGACCTCCCCTGTCAAGTTAAGGCGAGGGATCGGCAGTCAGAAAGCGATTTTACATAAAGTTCAGCGAGGACAGACACACCTGGTTGTGCACCTACATCGTCAAGGACTTCTCAGAAAGCGAATTACCTAGGCGAAGATACAAGTGGATCTAAATCCACAGCGTTTCAGACTACAGCTGAATTTCATCAAGCGACTAACACAACTAGATGGTTAGTAAACCTACTAAACTTCTGTTTGGAGAATAAAACGGAAATTTCACGCCCAACCTGGGGATATGAATATAGTGCTCCAACACCTCACAAGTGAGGTTTATGAACACGCCTGGATGACATACTTGGACCCCATGATACGATGATTCTATCAAGATGGCCAGCAAGAGCACTGTAAATTTATCTCCACCAAACCAAACAGGAGGGAAAAATGCAACAGATTATTTCCTCTATCATCAACTACGCCAGAGTGAAGTCTCATGTACTATATCTCCATTTGGATCAGAACTGTCATACTACGTGCATATGCGGATGGACCTATTCCGACCCTCCATGAGCTTAATACTCATGATATTATAGCGCTAACTTCTAGAATTGTTCTACACAAATGTGATTGAAATAATGGAGGGTTTATTTCTGAAAATCCGATATGGTGGTTGCAAACCATTATCTGAGAGATATCACCACCGAGGACGTCTCAGGTATACACCAATTCGATCCCATGGTCCTCGCACAACAGCTGACAGTTCCTCGGAGAAGATAAGTCAATCTAACAGATTTTTACTTATCTTATAACAATACTAAATAGCTTCATGCTATATATAATTTACTTAAGTTCCTTTTATCATCACAGTACTATGATTATTACATCATACAATATATAAGTTAACAACTCTACAGAGTTTGTTATTATATATATTTACCTTAAGTTATTCATATCTTAAGAGTAATACTATGGTTACATGATAAATGC